AAAAATACCCTTCCTGCTCACCTGACAACAATATGGTGAGGATCAAAAGAGGTTAGACATGGGAAAGCGCCTTGAACTCTATAAAGCCCAGGCCAGGTGTGGCACTGCGGCTTTCCAACAGTAGGCCTCCGAACACCCCCCTCCCACTACCTTCATTCCCTAGACCCAGGGCAGACCTTACAGCCCCCTTTTCCTCCAGTCCTTAGCCCTGGCCCCTCAATGCAAGCTGCCAGCTGGCTGAGGGCTGCAGGCTCCTGGGTTACCTACTGTTCCTGAATGCAGCACCTTGGCAGATGCTGTTGGCCAGAGCGGAAGAGCCCTGGTTCCCTCATCTGTTAGGCTTCACGATCAGAGGCACAGATGGGGAGCCACTGTCATGTGGAAGGCCACAGTAGCTTGGATTAGATGCTTGCTGGGCTGAGCCAGAGGCTGGAAGGCCATCATGGACAGAGCTTGTCTACCCATGCGACTCTGAGCCCCACACGAGGTACCAAGCCAGGCTGAGGGATGCAGAGGCTGGGTCTTACCATGGCCTTCGACAAAGGAAAATCCCCAAGGTCCTGGTACGCAGGGGCAGTGAGGCACCCTCTATGGGTTGCCAAATTGAGGAAATAAAAATACAGGACAGATACCCAGTTAGACTTGAATTTTAGATAAGCATCAAATACCTTTTGAATATAAGTATGTCTCACGGAATGTTTGGGATATACTTATACTAAAAATTGTTGTTCATCTGAAATTCAAATTTAACTGGACATCCCATATTTTATCTGGAAACTCTACCCCTTCTATACCCCGGCCCCCACAAGGGCTAAAAGGGCTGAGGGAGTCCAGCCCCTTCCCAGAGCCTGCAGCCACAGCCCACTGGAGGTTCCGGGAACTCTCCCAAGAGGCCACTTGCTGGCTGCCTGCCAAGGCTGTGTCCTCAGTTCCGGGGTGGTGACTTGTGCAGCCCAGCTTTCAGTGGCAGGAGAAGAGGGACCAGGACAGAGAGAAGAACCAGGGGTCCCCTCAGGTCATTTCACCCTTGAGCCTCTGTGAGGCACGAATAAAATGTCTCTTCGTAGGGCCTTGTCCACATCGATGGAGGTCACGGTGGGGCAGGGGCTTTAACGTTAGGACATGTCCTCCTCCTGTGAAGGCCCTGTCGCAGGGACCACACCTGCCTTTGCTCAGCTCGTACATGTCGGTGTCCCTAGCGCCCCTCCCTGGTCCCTCTCACCCACTGCCTGGCACCAGTCACCGTCTACAGAGAGCTCCAGTCCCCTTCACAGTGGACTAAACATATACAGTTCACTATGGACTGACACCAGTCCAGGAGCCGTTGCCCACAGGCGGACCATCTGCTTTCATCTGAACCACAGAGACAGCCTCTGCTCAGCCCTGTTCAGGCTCCCTGCCACGCCACACCCAGGGTCTCCTGCTGAAACCCCTCAACGGCTTCCCACAGGTCCAGGGATCAAATCAAAACACTTGTCTGTCTTCCACCCCCATCAGGCATATTGCTTATCATGTCACAAACCAGCCAGCACCATCCCTCTTCCCCAGTCGACTGTCCAACCAAACGCCTTACAGTTCCCTGATAGCCCTGCCCTTTCCCTGGCAAGCCTCCGTCCACCCCAGCCCTCAACGCCCTTCACGAATCCCTTTACTATTTCTTTGACCTCCCTTCCTCGACCTTCCCTGTAGAATGGTGATAACCACCGCCCTGCCAGGCTTCCTTGGGTCTCAGGAAAAATCAAACGAGAAAAAGAATGCAAAACTATTTTGTAAACTGGAAAGTTTCATGAGAGGTGAAGAGCAAAATGGCAGTTAGGTGGTCCCAGAAAGCCTCACAGCCTCCTTCTGAGCTGACCTCAGATGCCCACAAGAAGTACAGGAAACAACCATGTGAAGGGACCGAGGAAATTACGGTAATTTGGGCAGGGCAGTGTGGGTGGGTGGGCAGAGCCTAGGTGGGGGGCCTTTAGTGGAGCAGCCATAAGCTCACATGAGGTCTGGGGCTGCATGGGAACCCCTGGGGGGGTGGGGGGGATTGGAGGTGCAGGATAGTGGGGCTTTGGCCCCTTCCTTCCAGCTCAGCAGGGTGAGTCATCCGTAGCTGCCGGCACAAATCTCGCCTCCTCCACTCCAAGCTGAGCTGAAATGGTCCAGAGGATGTGCCCAGAGCATGGAGACGACAACGCAGAGAGTGAGTCACAGAGCTGAGTCAGAGCCCACTCAGCCCTTTCCAGGGCTCTGACGAAGGTTGTGCCGGCAGAGTGGCATTCTTCCAGCCTTGCCCCTCCTTCCCAAAACACACACACACACACACACACACACACACACACACTTCCAGATCAGTGAAGTCATGACATGCTTCCCCGGACTGCTAGCCTCCCTTATTTCACAGGTTAAGTGAAATCCTACTGGGTCCCCCACATCACAGGGTTTCTTGCCTCACTTACTCCCTGTTGAGGTACTGGGGATAAAAACCCAGTCCTTGTCTTCAAGCTGCTCTCCACCTGGCAGAGGAAACACAGTCTCCACGCAGGCCCTGCACTGCAGAGGAGTGGGCCAGTATGGCCTTGGGAGAGCTGCACATGCCATCAGCATCCTGGCTCACAGAAGGGAGAATGAGGGAGCCAGTAGGGGACTCAGCCCCTCAACACTGGGATGGGCCAGGAAGTCACTGCTCAAACATGCAGTCCCAGGACTCCCACGTCTGGGGCCCTTCCAGGGGGGACACTGAGCCTAGAGTTACATCTGTGAGTTACTCAAACAACATTCCATTTTCTTCTTCATCGAATTAACATGGAGACTTCGACACATGTAAGCATAGCCTGAGCTAATGGTCACAAACCACAGTCTAGTCTGATCTGTCCATTTTCAGTGTGAAGACCGAATGTGGCTTTGAATCTGTAACAGAAAGAGCCACCTGCTTGTATCAGAGAATAAATAATATCAGAACAGGGATCACTTAAAAGTCGTCAACTTCCAGTCTAACTGCTTCTTTTATAGAAGTAGAAACTCAAATCCAGAGAGGAGAAATGAAGCAGACTCCTTTGATAATTTCCATCTATTTTCCAGTCTTTAAACAAATATAATTTTTACTACAAAAACAAACCACATGACAGAAAGAATGAAAAAGAAAACCACATTAATCCCAACACTCTGATATAATCATTGATTTCATTTTGCTACTATTTCTTTACAGTGTCTTGTTACACAATTGTAATCATATGTGCATATCATTTTGTGTATTACTTTTTTCCTTCGACTTTACATTCCAAGCATTTCTACCATGTTATTAGAGTCTTCATAACTGTCATTTTTAATGACTATATAGTATTCCAGCAAGAAGATGGTCATAATTTTTTTTCATGACTTATTTAATCATTCCCCTATTTAAGGACATTTAAGTTATGCCCAAATTTTGGCTATCATAATGCTAAATATTACTTATTCATTTATTTATTTCTTGGTGTTAGACAGATGCCCAAAAGTGGAACTGCTCTGAGGTAAAAAGTGTGAACATTTTTAAAAGTCTCTCTATATATGTCAACAAATTGCTTTCTCTAAGATTATACTAACTAAACTGTCACCAGCAATACAAGGACCTAGCGGCACCTTTCCTCTCATTGTATACCATGTCCAGTTGAACAAGTGACCACAACATAAATGTTTATACTTTCTGACCCACCAATTCCCCTTCGAGAATTTTGGAAATAATCACCAAGTGTACTGATAGATGTAAAGATGTCCACTGGAGAGTACGATAATGTGATACCAGTTACCTTAAAATGCATAAGAGTGTCAAAGTCTACGCAGAGGGGTATCGTGGGGAAGGACGTCTATATTTTACTTTATATACTTCTGCGTTTAGTTCTTCACAGTGAGCATGTATTACTTTTATAATTAGCAAGATGACAAAGATATTTCCACATTGGAGAAAAAAACTTGCAGAAACCAGCAGCCCCTAATCGTTTGCAGTTAGAGTGCTGGTTCGGTCATCAGAAGCCCAGCCCTAAGCTTTGCATGACCTCGAGTCTTCTGTTAAACGGTCATGATACTACTAATGTCACAGGGTTACCGTCACTTAAATGAGATCATTCCTGTAAAATGCTTAGCACAAAGCCTTGCATTTAGTCAGTACTAAAAAGTGTTAACTATATTATTATTTTATTCTGACATTTCTCTTAGTCCCCACCCACAACCTCAGCCACTATTTCTTACCACTTATTCCAATAACTCCCAGCCTCCAGGGAACAAAGCCTGTGTGAAGCCACATACCTTTCCTGAGAATTCCATGCAAATTGGCAAATCATAAGCCATTAACCCCAGAGCAAGCCAAGGGCATGATGCAGGAGGGAACCATAGGCACACGCATGTGTGGGGGCTGCGTGCTCGAGCACAAATGAATGCCCGTTCCATTCCAGATGGCGATGAGGACGCACAGCATTTGAAACTGGCAAAAATGAGAATGCTTGTTTGCAGTAGAGCAACAGCTGGGGGAAAAACACCCTGAGAAGTAAAAATAAGAATATCTGATTTTTTAAAAACTGAAATCTCCAAGCACCCATAATGCTTAGCATCTCAAATATGTTATGCTTACATTCAGGAAAAAACCACACAAAAAACCATAAACAAAAATCACTTTTTAGAAAGAAAAGGTGAGCAGAAGGGCACTAAGCTGAGAAGCAACGGCGGCATGTGAAATTAGCAGGAGTAGGACCCTGCAGTCAGACCTCTGGGGCTAAATTCTGGCTCTTCCCCCTGACCAGCTCTGCAAACATGGCCAAGTTAATTCATCTTTTTATGTCTCAGTTTTGTCATCTGTAAAATGCGGATAATAAAAGTACCCACCTTAGGGGCTTGTTATGAAGACTGTGAGTTAATGGGGAGGTATAAATGCTCCCTAAGTACTTGCCAATTACTATTTCTGTATATGGCTGTTGGGTCTCAGCGACATGTGCAGCACCAGGGCCCTTGCTTGGCAGACCTCACAGCCAGTCAGTCACCTTTCTGAGGAGCCTTCCTGTGGACATGGTCGGGAAAGGAGGGTCAGCCCAGTGTCAGGCAGAGCTTCTGCTCCTCTCAACCGCTACAGAGGCAGGGGCCCAGGTGCTGCCGGCCCTTCCTCAGGCACAGGCTCGGGCAGGCTCACAGAGGCAGGATGGTGCGGGGGTCGGGACGGCAAGGGGTTCTGAAGTCGGGAAGGTGGAGGCTGACCTTGAGGGTTCCTGCTCCTAGAATGACCTCTGATTGGATTGCCCAGGAAGGCACCAAGGGCCTCCAGGTAGCTTCCCGTCTGGAGGCCAAGGTGATTTCGATTCAGAAACTAGGAGGTGAGGGAGCAGGGGCTGGGGAGAGGGAGTAGAAATGAAGGGGCTGGTGTGGGTGAAAACAGAGGAGGGGGCTTTAGGGGAGGGAGAGGGGAGGGAAGGGTGGTAGAGAAGTACAGGGTGGGGTGGGGGGGCGGAGGGGGAGGCCAGAGGCAGTGAGGAAGGTGGGAGACCAAAGAGGAGAAGGGAGGGGAATCTGTGGGGGAGGGGGAAGAAGGAGGGAGGCGAAGGGGGATGGCACCGGGGACAAGTAGGCCCCTGGCCAGAATAGGCAGCCCCTCCTTCCCCTCCGAGGGTGGCTGTTTACTGAGCAAACGGCCCTCCCTTCTCACCCTCCCCCACCCCGACTTCCCCAGCAAAAATGCAGCCTCTGCCTTTCTGGCCTATTCTGGCCCGGTTGCATCCACACGCCTCCGACGCTGGGGAGGACTCGGCAGGAGCCTCAAATGGCACCCACTCGCCAGCCTCCCTCCCAGTGGATGCTTCTATTTTAGGCACCGCATTATTTCCTGCTGTGATTTTTTCAGCCTTCTAATTCGGGCTCTGAGGTAAGCCGTGACATCCGCTCCGGCTCCCGCAGCCTCCCCCTCCCGCCCCCTGGCAGCGGCGGCTCAACCCTCCTGGGGCGCTGCTCCCTCCCGGGATTCAGGGATTCAGACGGCCGGACCGGCCCCTAAAGAGGCTTTTAGGAGGAGAGGTTTTCCCCCTGTGCAGGGTGAACGTCTAGCTAGAATATATTTCTAGGCAAGGATTTAGAAGAAATGACAAGGACCGGGTATAAATTATACCATTATGTCCCAGATCGACCAAGGGGGCTGTAGATGCTTCCAAATCAGTGGTTTTCAACTTTTTTGGGGGGGAGGGGGACGACAAGGGCCCTTTTCAGAATCTGATGAAAGCTATGCACCCTCTCTCTGGAAAGTGTCCACTTGCAAACCCATGCACACACAAATAGACACTGCCTATTTGCTTATAATGCTTATAATTTTGCTTATAATGTCAGGGTTGAGCGTGGAACCCTAGGGGTCCCAGGACCCAGGTCAAAAGCCCCAGCTCACACGCCATGAGTATCCCATAGCTCACCATGAGTATCCCATAGCTCGGGGCTCCTCTTGCCAGTTTCCTCCCCATGACACTCACTGGTCCCTTCCTCTCCCTCACCCCACCCCCGTAATTGGCCTCATTATATTTACTCTATGTGTGTTTTCACGTGTCTTTTTATGTGCAAGGATTTCACCCCCAAATGGGCAAAAGAAAGTTAGGAGGTCGGGTTGTAAAGCTCTTACTTGGGGTGGTGGGCCTGCCCCTGGATCTCCCGTCTGGTTCATGACCTGGCTCCTGCCTGAGTCTGGTGCGGAGAGGATACTGCACACGGATTCGGGGAGACTCGGGTTATAGTCAACGCTTAGTAGCTTTGGTACCCCGACTTTCATGAGCCTCCATTTCGTTTGCACCAAGGGAACTCATAATAAAGTTTCTCACACAGGACTACGTGAGGCGATGCAAGGGGAGGCATGTTTCAAAGGGACTTCTCTGTCACGGGAGAGGCCAGTTTACTTCTGAATCACTCAGATCTCATGTGTTGCCCCTCAGAATGGGCAGCACCCAATAAAGTTTTGTTTTTTAAAACGCAGTTAGGTAAAATGAGTCCAAAATTAGGAAGTGATGTGAGATGAGATACCTCCAGAATGATGAGTGAGAAGTCAAGAGCTGGTCTCCAGGCAAATACGGAGCAGCTAATACGGCAATTAGCCTTTGGAATCTGATCTCTATTCAGGATCTTCCCTGTTCCCCCAGGTGTTAAAAAGGGACCCCCCATCTCCTCCTCTCCGTGGCCACCTTCCCTACCACCTCAGAGTTGCCTCCCTTTCACCTTGCATCTCCTCTGGGGTTCCCTCTGCTTCTCGTCTCAGTTCTTTCTCCCAGCCTGGTCAGATGTCTCCAGAATGTCAGAGTCGCCTCCACTTCTAAATATGCATTCTGTGTGTGACGCCCTCCTACTTGTCCATTCAGGGACCTTTTCTCAGCCCTTGCCCTCTTGACTTCAGGGACACACGTTCTGACCCTGTAGAGGGCTGTTCTTCTCAAGCTCAAGCTTCCTGCCTCTTCGCTCCTTCTCTATCGTTGGCTCCTCTTCCTCCTCCGAGCCTTTTTAAGGGTGGCTGTTACCCAGGGTTCATCATGTTACCCTCGGTTCCCGGTCCTCTGCCCTTTGGGATCTCATTGATTCTGGTGGCTCCAGCTATCTCCTCTAGGCTGCCAGCTCTGACCTCTCTTGAGTTCCAGTCCCCAATTTCAACTGCCCATTATAATGGGCAACTCTCTATATAAAAGTAACTCTAAATGTAAGCCCTGTTGTCATCTCAAATTCAACATATCTAGAAATGAATTCATCTTCCCCCAAACCAGCTTCCTTCCTGGCTTCCCTTTTCTGTTTGGGGTTTGACATTCTCTTGGTTGCCCAGGCACGAAGGCTCCATCAACTTTGACTCTTCTCTTTCCCTCTCCTTCCATCTCCTTGAAGGCACCAAATCCTGTCCATCCTCCATTTGGGGTCTCTCTCTGGCATCCGTCTCTTCCTTCCCTTTCCCACTTCCATTCACCAACCCTAGCTTTCATCTCTGATGGTCACAGTAGCTTCCTGGTTGGTTTTTCTGCCCAGATTCTCTCCATCTGTTAAAACAGGTTAACTTCACGGGGGCCGGCCCAGTGGCTCAGCAGTTAAGTGCGCACGTTCTGCTTCGGCGGCCTAGGGTTCACTGGTTCAGATCCTGGGTGCGAACATGGCATCACTTGGCAAGCCATGCTGTGGTAGGCATCCCACATATAAAGTAGAGGAAGATGGGCAGGGATGTTAGCTCAGGGCCAGTCTTCCTCAGTAAAAGGAGGAGGATGGGCAGCAGATCTTAGCTCAGGGCTAATCTTCTTCACAAAAATAAAAAACAAAACAGGTTAACTTCTGAATCAAGGCCCACGTCCACTATAACTTTCTTGACTATCCAAACTGCTTTAGCACATCTTGCCTGCTCCATACACTTTGCCAGTGCATTTTATTTTGCCAAGTGATATCTCTCCTATTGTTATTAGCTTTTCACATTTTTCACTTAAATGGGAAGTTCCTGGAGCTCTTTCCCAGCCCCTGATCTGAGCTTGCCCAGGGCCAGCCGGGCCCCCTGGCGCTGCCCCCTGGCATTTAACACAAATGCTTCTGATTCCTCATTGTATCCCGTATTTTTCATTCTGGCTCACTTAAGCCCTCTTTTTTATTAGCCAGGGAGCACCCTTCACCAGAAAGCAGAGACCCCAAATTCCAATGCCTAGAGGGCCCGGGAGGTCATGAAATGGGCGAGGTGGGCCCGGTGTGCCGTGACAAGGAGTGGTGGGACGTGGCATCTAGCTTCCTCGTCCCCAGTCTAGAGGGGCTGCTGCTCCTCAGCCCCTTTCATTGCCGTTGGGCCCCAGTGTGGCCAGATTTTCCAGTTTTTCAAAAGAAACACCAAATTTGGATTTTTATGGGAAATTTCTCAACTTTTAAAACACTGTGCAGAACCACCACACACAGCTGCAGGCTAAATCCAGCCTGCAGGTAACCCTGGACAGGAAGGTTTCCTGCGCTGTCATTATTCCTGGTGTGGCAGAAATCACTTTGGACTGGCAGCTTCTGGTTACCGTTGCAGTAGTCCCACCTCATCCATGGTTTCAGTTACCCTCGGTCAACTGCTGTCCAAAAATATTAAATGGAAAATTCCAGAAATCAATAATTCATAAGTTTTGAATTGTGAGCCGTTCTGAGTGGCATGATGAAATCTCGCACCATCCGGCCCGGGATGTGAATCATCCCTTTGTCCAGTGGATCCCGCTGATACACTACCCGCCTCTTAGTCACTTAGCAGCCCGCGTAGTTATCAGATCAACTGTCCTGGTGTGGCAGTGCTTGTGTTCAAGTACTCTTATTTTACTTAATAATGGCCCCAAAGCACATGAGTACTGATGCTGGCAATTTGGATATGCCAAAGAGAAGCAGTAAAGTGCTTCCTTTAAGTGAAAAGGTCAAAGTTCTCGACTTAATAGGGAAAGAAAAAAATTGTATGCTGAGGTTGCAAAGATCTACAGTCACTTTTGTTTCAGTATATTGTTATAATGGTTCTATTCTATTAGTAGTTATTGTTTTTAATCTCTTACCGTGCCTAATTTACAAATTAAACTTTGTCATAGGTATGTATGTATAGAAAAAAACATAGTATATGTAGGGTGTGGTACTATCTGTGGTTTCAGGCATCCACTGAGGTCTTGGAATGTATCCCCCTAGATAAGGGAGGACTACTGTATGTCAGTAATGAGCTGTGTAACCTTGAGTAAGTTACATCCCCTCTCTGGGCCTCAGTTTCCTCATCTGTACAATGATAGATCTTATTAAAAGATCCCTATAGACTTCTCACCTCAGTGATTCTGTGGTCCTATGGCTTATCCTAAATGGTGGGGAAATCCTGTTTAACAAATCGTCTGGTCTGTTTAACAAGATTTACCATAAATACACATCGAACATAGATTACCACATTTCAAAGAACTAGAATACAATAAGGCATTGGTTAATTGAAATTCTCCAGGGTTAACTGGAAAATCCCTTTTTAATCAAGCTTATTGTTGAAAGACTTTCTAAACTACCGGAGTTCAGTTTCCTGCCTTTTTAAGCACAGGAGACGCAGCAATGCTGGGCGAGGGGAACTGATGAGTCAATGTCTGGGGATGGCTCTGCCACCTGGGCTGAAGGGGGTGGCAGCAGAGCACGCGGGAGATCCTGCCAGGCCGCTCCCAGCCAGGGGGCTGCTCATAGTCCAGGACCACTGGCTGGTGCCAGAAGATGACTACCCTGGGCTCACTAGCCTCTTTGCAGGACTCAGATCCCCAGTTTAACATCCACTTTGGGAGGATTCCTCACTCGTAAGCTGGGAATTAGTTGAAAACTGGCACTGCCTGGAATGTGTGTCGATACTGAATGTCATGACACGACCCAGAGCTCCTTCCCATGGAAAAGAACAAGAGCTGTGGAGCCCAACAGATCTTAGTGGGAATCCAGGCTCTTCCAGTTCCTAGCTGTATGACTTTAGGCAAATGCCTTAACTTTTCTCAGTCTTAGTTTCCTCATCTATAAATTTTAGATAACACTATCTCATAGAGTTGTTATGAGGACTAAATGGAATCATGTCTACTAAATGGCTCGTGTGGTGTTTGGGATTTAGTTAAGTGCTAGGTAAGTGGAAATCATTCTTCCATTAGGAAGTAACATCTATTATCATTTAAAATCCAGTCTGATTCTTCTGTTTTTTTCTTAGTAAGGTTAGAAAGTCAGTACCACTCGCTTTCTACTTTCCGTGATAGACATTTGAGAAACCAACTATTTACAGAACTAAATGTTGTCTCTTGCCCCCTCTTCCTTTCCATCCTACCCTATTGTCCTGCAATAAAGACACCAGCCTTAAAATCAGAACCAAGGTCTCGATTTTGAAACTGTAATGCTAATAATTGATTCAGTCAAGAATCATCAATGGATGGAAAAGTTTGATGAGGACAGCATATTCACAGGCTTAAAGTATCTCACCCTAAATTACTTATTTATTACAAAGGGAAAAAACAGTAACTTTATGATGGAGAAACCTGACAGACATCTCCTTACCCAAGTGATCAAAGTTAACACCAACAAGACTGGAGCAAACAGACATCATGTGGCTCCTGATATGATACACTGAGAAGGACACAGCATCACTTCTGTGAGGTTCCTGCAAACAAATGCCTAACCTGAATCTAATTGTGAGCAAGCACCAGACTAACCCAAGCTGAGGAACATTCTACAAAACGACTGGCCTGTACTCTTGAAAAATATCGATGTCGTGAAAGAGAAGGAAAGGCTGAGGAACCATTCTAGATTAAAAACTAAAGAGATATGACAATTAAATGGAACGTATGATCCTGGATTGGATCCTGGACTAGAAAAAAAATCATTATAAAGAAATTATTGGAACAACTGGATAAATTTTAATATGCATTGCACATTAAATAATAGCATTATATCAATGTTAAGTTCCCTGATTTTGATTGTATGTAAAAGAATGTCACTGTTCTCGAGAAATTAACACTGAAGTATTTAAGGGTAAAGAGGTATAGTGTCTGCAATCCTCTAAAATAGTTCAAGAAAAGAAAATAAGTATAAACATGTAAAAACAGGCAGAGAGTGAGAGAGAGAATATTAAAACAAATGTAGCAAAATGTTTTCATTTGGTGAACTTGAGTGAAGGGTACACAGGAGTTCTTTGTACTAGTCTTGCAGCTTTTTGGTAAATTGAAATTATTTCAAAATAAAAAGTGCAAAGAAAAAAATGGAGCCAGGGGTCAGGTAGAGCCAGGCACAGAGCATCACGTCATTTGCCCCTGCAGTGTGGTGAAGTGGAAAGAGCCCTGACTTGGACACGGGGTTCAACCCAGCTCTGCCAACTGCAAGCCCCTTAACATCCCTAGACTTCTGTCTCTTTGCTCTGAAATGTGGATAATAACCCCTCTCCCTTAGGGTTGTCAAGAGGGCTAAATGAGGTAGACTACGTGAAAAGTCTGGCACATGCCAACATATAATTCACGTATCCCACATGCATCTGCTGCTAAGAGTCCAGAAGTGATAAATACAAACAGAATTCTTGCCCTCACCTAGCTTAAACACTAGTCAAAAGGATGGGAAATAAATGACTAAATGAACAGGCAGACATGCAATGACAAACTGCCATAAATTCTACATGAGTAATGGAGGGCGGCAGAAGAGACGGGGAGCCCTATCACATATAGGGTGGTCAGGGGAAGCCTTACTGAAGAAATGACATTTAACCTGAGACTGAAGAACAAAAAGCAGGGAGAGGTTGGCAATCTAGGTGGTGGAAGAGCAGGAGCAAAGGCCCTGAGGTGGGCAAGATCCTGGTGCATGCAGGGAACTGTGACATTCTCTCCTCTGCTGGTGCATTTCTAACTCGATGTGGCTCCTTGAGGGAAGGGGCAGCACAGCACCCAGCATGGAGTGGACAATAGGGTTTCATGAGTGAACAAGTGAATGGGTGTCCCTTGGTTTCAATATTTGCCATGAGGAGATTTCCCCTCTCCCAGCCCTTAGCTGCACTACGTAGTGAAAAGGAAGCAGGCTACTTCTGAACTGGCAGCTCTGGAGTTTTCCCCTCTGTGGGCAGCTTGTTTAGATCACAGAGCTGGAAGGGACCCCCAAAATCCCATGCTCTTCCCTCTCATGTTTGAAGGAAGAAGCAGAGGCCCAGGCTCAGGACAGACATGCCAGAATCCATGGACCTGGTCGGGGCTCCCTGTCTAGTGCTTTCCCCAGCCCTGCAGCCTGCCTTGTTTATTTGTTCAACACGTTTGTTTCAGCCATGGCACAGCCTGTTCTGACTCTGGAACATTTATAAGATGAGCCAAAAAATCACAGAAAAATCGTTTGCTCTTGGAGCTAAGGGGTGGGGCAGCCAGGGTGGGAGACAGGTTTCAGGCCAGCTCTGGGGCAGAGTTTTGGCTTGTTCTTTGCTGTCTTTTCCTTCTGCCTTTGGGAATCAAAGGGACTCCACTGGGGTTTCCTGCCTCGGTTTCTCCAGGTCTGTGATGTGGAAAGACAAGAACATTCAACCATAAAATTTCTAGTTCTTATCTCCACCCTCATTAGCTGTATTCCAAACCTCCGCTTCCACCCACTGATTTCAAGCCACAGCCCGATCCACTTGATCAGCCCAGGGATGGAGGTGTTGGGCCCAGCACCAGGCTCATCCTGCCCCCTCTGCCTGCAGCATCATTCTCTCTCTGCTTGTGAACTCTTGCTTATCCTTCAAAACCCAGCAGTTACATCACCACCTCTAAAACCTTGAACTGACTGCCAGGTAGTCTATCAGATACTTTTTAAATTTAAAAAACCCAACCAGGATAAATGGCATAGCTAAAATGCTGAATTTCTTGGCTTTTGTCTGACTGGATACTAATTCAGTGTAGTAATGCTAATTATCACCTTGTGTTGATCAGAAGCACTTGTTTGCAGTTACATAAATATTTGATTACCAAAAACTTAGAAATGAATACTTAATAACTGCAATTTTTGTGGCCAACAAAATAATTTATTTAAACGTTAATTAAGCCCAGGGTGGTAGAGGGGATGGGGTAAGGATGACAAAAGGGAATCCTGGTGACTAAAAGGCGACTCTAAGGTCCTACGCAGGCTCTTGATACACATGGCTGCCTTGCTTCTCCAAAAGGCCTGGTACATAGTAGGTGCTCAGAAAACATTCACTGAATACTACAAGTGTGTGAGGATGTAGGAGTGTGTGACAATGACACTCTGGCCCCTGGGGTCATTGAAGTCTGTGTCAACCCTAGTTGGCTGTCCCATGGGTACCAGGCTAAGAACCAATTCAGGAGCTGTCCTAGCCTGAGGCTCTTTTTCCCTAACTGGGCAACATGCCAGCTCTCAGCACTGACCCAAATAGCGCTAAGATTGCTCAGAACCTGGGGACAAGACCGTGTATTCTGGAGGCTCTCCAGGGATCAGGGGCAACTGCCTGGATTCTGATACCCATTGTAGCCCCTCTGCCCCTTTACACCAGGCAGCTCCCCAAGAAGCAGAGCCTGGCCAGCAGTGGGAGGTGCTCTTCTCCTTCACTTCCAAGATTAGCTCAGACCTTAAAAATCACAGCCCAGCGCCTGCTCCTCTCATGCCAAGGAAAACAGTAGATGTCAGAAGCCTCCTTAGGTATCTGGATGAGAACAGCTCCTTCTGCTCCCTCCCTTCCTTGTATGAGGTCATTGAATCAGGATGACAAAGCAAACAGTGACATGTGTTGGGACTTGTTGCCCGACTATTTCCAGGCTTTCTCCAGCCCCTCCCTCGTCTCCATCCTCAGAATGGCAGACCTGGGAATGGACAAGAAACTGAACTGAACTCAGTCCTTGGGATTTTGGGAGGCATCCTCTGTGGCAGTAGAGGAGGTCCTGGACAGACCTTAGTAAATGAGGGAACTGGGATATTCGCACCACCGGACATTTGCACAGAGGTTTCCCAGGCTTCCGTGTGCTTTCATTTATTCTCATTTGAGTTAAGCAGGGAAAGAATTCTCTTCCAGCTTCACAGATGAAAAAAGTAAGGCTCATTTAAGGTCAGCAACTTCATCAGGGTTACATGGCTTAAGGGTCAAAGAGCTAGACTTGAAATTTGTTTTGTGACTCTACTTACAACATCTTTCCACCTCATCACGGCTCCCTGAATTTCAGTCCTTGGTACACCTGCTTCATGCTTTTTGCTTTGTCGCATACCACCATACTATTATTTACTTAATGTTTTTCTTTAAATAAACTCACTTAAAAAAATGACCTCAATCTAAGCAACAATACACCTGTGTATATGTATAAATAATACATGTATGTATTTATACGTGTAATCGCTAAAATTAAACATTTCATCCTCCTCCCCTAAAGTCAACTGTCATAACACCAGAGATTCTAGTGCACACTTTGAGAAACTGTCCCACTGTCTTACACCCACCCTGCATTACTAAGAATGGATCGTCACAGGCTGGCAGCCAAGTGGCTGCCCTTGGTGAAGTGCTCAGCCACTAGCATTGTTCAGGGCCAGTACTGTCGTTGGTAGGGCTGTGCCTCAAAATCACAGAATTACTGAGTCATGGAGGATAAGAGAGAGATCACGGAATCCAACTCCTAAGGGGCAGGGCCTTCTACAACACACCCAGTCATAGTCCTGAAGGTTCAGGGGACACCATTCAGAGATATAAAGATAAATAAGATGTAGTCCTTCCTCTTTAAAAACTCATAAAGCTACAAACATAAACAACTGAAAGCTAGAAGGAATAAGCAAAGGACCTGGAATCAGAGAAACTCTAGACTTCGTTCCACCGCAAACTCGCACACCTTTAAGCAAGTCACTTCATGTTTCTGGGCCCCAATTTCCTCAAACAGAAGTGATAGCATCTCTTCTTTTTACTTTTTAAGACTAATAGGAGATTCAGATTTTTAAAATGGGTATGACATATCAAACATTGAGTTGTACACCTTAATTATATACAATTTTTGTCAATTATACCTCAATAAAAGTGGGGCGAAGATGGGTGTGAAAAATCCTCTGTAAAAAATGACAAAGCTCTAATGGAGTGTGTGAGTACTAAGTAGGCAATGCCCAAACCCCTCCATAGAACACTGGCTTTATGACTTTCTCCAGGTGGAACTAAGCACCAGAAATAGGTAGGGAAGAGATTTGGGGAGCACTATTTGGGCCTTACCAGGGTCCCTGACTAAAACTGCTTCCAGGTCTTAGGCCTGGGAAGATGTTGATGAGCTGAACCAGCTTGCCGCCTTTAACTATTTCAGAATCCTGCGTTTCTTCTCTGATTCTTACTCTTTTTTTCTGCTTTAAAACATCTGTCTTCTTGCTTTCGGCCCCAAGTGCAAGTTACTGCATAGTGATGGATCTTTACTGCCCTCTTGTGGTCACTTCCTGCCATAATCGCATTGACTTTTGAGAGGGTGTGCGTGACAGCCTGAGGAAACCAGAGCCAACCCTCAAGATGGAGATTTCCAGGGCCAGCAGAGGACTTAAAGCCCAAATTAAAGCCAGCTGCTGGAAACCAAAGCTCCCTGCTGGGAAGGGGTAGCTCCACCTGGTTTTACCCCAACTAGGACAGGAAGCCAGGCCTTTGTGTGCTTTAACCTTGCTAAATTGTCCAGCTTGTTTGCAGAAAGGTCTGGAAATGAAGGTGGCCTGAGGTGTCCCTTCTCTGCCCAGAAAACTCAAGGTAGGAAGGGCCAGGACTAGGACCTGCCCTCCAACCCCCACTCACTGAAAGCAACAGTTAACCGGGCATCTGTTTTGTGAACTGGCAGGCGCCATGGGGTAAGGGTGGGGGTACAAAATAAGATATATATTTCCTGTCCTCAAGAACTCATAAAGCTTACAAACATAAATAACCCAAGCACACATATAATTAACAGACGCCAGGCTCCTGGAGTAAGGGCTATAATAGTAGAAATAAAGT